GCTTACCGACCTTCGTTTCCACCCCTGCCGATCAGCTGTTCGGCAGGTCCAAAATGGCCGCCGGAAGCCCCAAAATGGCCGTGCGCAGCGTTTTCGTGCCCTCGTTAAGTGAGGGGAGGGCGCGAAAATGGCTGCCGGCCATCCTGGAACATTGCTGAACGGTGAATAAAGGAGCCTTTTGGAATGCATTAAACGATGTTTAATGCGTTCCAATGGCTTTTCCTGCCCCGTTCAGCGATGTTTTCACATAGCGAGGGTTAATCCGGAACGGATTAACCTCGCTATGCGAGGCACCACTGTATGTGAAAAGCTATCATGCAGAGGAGGGGCAGGATCTGTTCTCAGCCATCCCAGAGTGCAGGACACACAACAATGGGCTCAAGTTAAAGGAAGCCAAACAGTGAGGAAAAACTTCCTAACTGTTAGAGCAGTACTACAAGGGAACCTGTGATCTCGAGAATGGTGAGTGCGCCTACCGAGGCTGCTTGTGCTTTGAATTTCCAGTATTGTGAAGTGTCTTAATAAATGAGCTGCTTCAGATATCAGCAAATTGAACACTTACAGAGGGGCAGGAGGAGTGAAGAAGATTGGAGCTCTTCTCAATATTACTACTACGACGACGACTACGACTACGACTACGACTACGACTACGACTACGACTACGACTACGACTACTACTACTACAGTTCCCAGAATTCTCCCAGCCAGCAGTTTCAGTGAAGTGACACCTGCTAGCTGGGATAATTCTGGGTGGGTGGTTTGGACCTGGGTGGATCACCTCTCCTGTGATGTCTCTGTTGAAGGATCCTTTCTTCACATGCAGATCAATCAAAGAGGAAATAAGTTCTGTATTCAAAAGCACTCTGGAGGTGTGGTCCCCAGGCCGAGTTGGAGGCAGAGTAATGGAGTTCATTGGGGGAAGCGAAACTTTGTTGCCTGAAGAATCGAGAAGTCCCACCTGGAAGAAAAGTCAGAAGAATCAACGTTAAGAGCCAACATTCTGGATGCCACCAAAGTATGCCCCAGATAGACCAAAAGCACAGTAGTGTGAACATATCAAGTGGAAGAAAGAGGCGCAACCGTCCCCAGAGGAATGGCCAGTGGCTCTGGCATCAGTGAAGCGGAGAATCCACCCTGGTTTTTACTCGGAACATCAAAGGAGCTGTCCAAGGTACTGAAATGAGTTTGGAAGGATAGGGTTCAGCATTTTGCATATCTCCTGTAAAGTTTGGATTAAAACCCAGAGTGGATTGATTGCACTGTTGACTTCAGAGCCGCTCCCAGCATTGCTCCCATGGGTGCGTGTGTGCACACGAGCAGAAGCAGTTCTTTCAACCAACTACAGAGCTACAAATACGTTTTTCACAAAAAGATTGCTCACTATTTTGGATACAAGTGGAGGGCATGGGCGCACGGTCCCTTGACCAGATTGCTCCCATTATGTCCGAGGAAATGAACATCTCCGCTGATGGCCTAAATGCCATTAGATCATTTGTAGGGGTGGTTATTGTTTAATCTTGCCATGCTGGTGCTTTCAAGCAACCAGTCCCTGCCCCTCAATTTCAGCCTATGTTACCTCCATGGTTTCCGTGTCCGCAGAGAAGATGGGTCAAAAGGTACAGCTTGGGGGCCAAAGCAGACGAAGCATGCCATCGTTTGCACCCTTCCTCTGCTTTCACACAATTTCACTCTGCCTACACCTTGCTCTAACTGGACCTATCTTGTTCTTTTAAAAAATCACGGGGCCCCTACATACAAATGAGGTGGGGTGAAGCTTGGCCTTTTAAAGAATACCCAATGTGTTGTTGCATTGAAAGAAGAGGAGGAATCAGAGACCTCTTTTCTGACCAAGAAGATGATCAGGGGACCTCAGGGTTACTTGGAAGTAGGCACCCCACCTACCTTTTCAGAGTTCTCTTTCATTCAAGCTGACCTGATTCTACTGAAAAGAAGTGGCGCCCACTCTCAGATGGTAGGACGTCATGTCCAGCTTTGTTACCTGAAGCAGGATGTACCAAGGACCAGAGCTGGGACTTTCCATGGAGCAAACTAAGCAAAACACTTTCCTAAAGAGTTATGTTGACTATAGAAGTAGCCCAGTTCGTTTTGCTGCTATAAATACTCAACACTAGGGGGAGGGTTTCTATGACATGTCACCTTTTTTCTGCAACCTACATTTGAACTGAGAAGCAAGTTCAAACTTGTTTATGGGTCATCTGGCCTTTCTCACCGGATGACTCATCAACAGGTTCAAGCCCACCCATTCTCTCAAGCATAGGCTGCAGGGGGGAAAAAAGTGTGACATGTCATAGAAATCCTGCCTCTGCTACATCACACTGCACCAACCCAAAGATTTTCCAAAGAACATTTTGTGGGGAGGGCCTCCTGAAACCAAATTTGGGTGAAATGTTGTGCTAAAGTGATTTTTTTTTTATTAAAAAAATGCCTGGAGAACTTTTAAAAAATTCTTTTCTAACAAAGCTAAAATCCGTGGAAGTTGCAGCGACTCTGATGCCTACAACATGAGCCTGGGAGCCCTGTACTCTTAGTACAGTCGTGCCCCACTTAACGCTTACCCTGCATTACAATGAATAAGCTTCACGACGATGTTTTAAATGGGGAAATTTCGCTGCGCAATGATTGGTTCCCAGTTTCGGGGACTGATTTTCACTTTACGACGATCAAAACAGCTGATTGTCCAGTTTTCAAAATGGCCACCGGGTGTACAAAATGGCTCCCCGCTGTGTTTAGGAGCCATTTTTCGCTGCACAGGCACCAGAAAATGGCCACCCCTATGGAGGACCTTTGCTGGACGGTGAGATGTTAGCCAATTGGAACGCATTAACCGGGTTTTAATGCATTTCAATGGCTTTTTAATTTTCGCTTTACGGTGTTTTCGTTCTACAGCAATTTCGCTGGAATGAATTAACGTCGTTAAGCGAGGCACCGCTGTAGTTTGTTGGGAAGCAGCTGCCAAGAAGGCTGGATTGCATTTCCTCTATTTGCCAACTTGCCCACTACTTGTCTACTCGGCGCAAGAACTAAAACAAAACATGGAAAAGGTGTCTCACGTCCAGGTCCAGCATGAGTTTATCCCCACTGGACTGGAGAATGCTGCCCAGAAGGTACTCCACTGATCCGACACCCTCCACAGGATGCACACCTGGATGGAAAAGAAACAGAAGCCTGAGGAACAGCAAACATCTCCCAATGATCCTGAAGGGCCGCCTGCTAGCAGCAGCTTCACAAATGTTACGGGAAAGTGGTACACGCAAAACAGATTGTGTAAAATAACAGAACTTGCAATGTACCTTGGGGGGCCATGCTAGGAGGGTGGCAAACTTTTTTTTTACACTTTCCACACTTGTAAAGACAGAATATTTCGACATGGGAGGGTAGCTGGTCAAGGGTCTGTTATCTTCCTAGCCAGAAATTCTGCCTTTAGCAACAGAATGAGGCAAAGAGTGGAGTTGCATTTTGTTATAAAGGTTTCGGCAAACTGCCCATAATACTATGGCTCAAATGGAATCTCCTCTCCTGTTTTGAAACAAAGCCCTCATGGACATGCAGGGACACAAAGCAAGCAGAGAAGGACCCCGACGGTTGAGCCACAAGGTAGAAACAACCCACCCAATGCATCTTATGGTTCAAGGTCCTCACCGCAAAGGAGCAGCTATCCTAGTTTTGCAGAAAGTTGTCCTTGCAGCTGCGAGGACTCTTCCCAAGTGGGTCCCCACATATATTTCTACATTTTGCACACAGGTGGTGGCGGGGGTGGCCAACACATTGTTTCTCATTTTTCTTGTGAGATGGGTCAGAATTGAAATCTCTACCACCTGCCAAGGGGGAAAGGAATCAGAGAAAGCCAAAGCCACAAGCAAAATGGTTGTTGTGGGCTTTTCGGGCTCTTTGGCCGTGTCCTGATGGTTGTTCTTCCTGACCCACAACAACCATCAGATCCCGGCCGTGAAAGCCTTCGAGAATACATTCAACAAGCAAAACTTTGAAGATTTTTTTCTGATGGAGGGAGAAGGCTGTGAGCATTTCAGGTAAGGAATATCGCTTTGAGAATGTCACAACAGATGCATTTTGGACATCCCTGATTATTCAATTTAAACAGAGATGTCTGGGCTGTTGCTGTGAGCCCTCGAGCCCTTTCCAAAGGGAGAGCCCTATTTATTTATGATCTCCAGAATGTCTTTGCCAGGTCTGACTAATTCAAGACCCTGATTTAAGTCGATCTAATTCATGTCTTCATTTTCACCCCTCTACTGCCTTCAACATAAGCATCTGCCTAAATTCCATTAGTGTCCTTGCTCAGGGCTAACAAAATGCACAGATCTCATATAGGATCAAGAGAAGGAAGGAAGGAAGGAAGTAAGGAAGGAAGGAAGGAAGGAAGGAAGGAAAGGAAGGGAAGGGAAGGGATGGAATGGAAGGAAGGAAGGAAGGAAGGAAGGAAGGAAGGAAGGAAGGAAGGAAGGGAAAGAAAGAAAGAAAGAAAGAAAGAAAGAAAGAAAGAAAGAAAGAAAGAAAGAAAGAAAGAAAGAAAGAAAGAAGTTTCCCAAACAACATACCGTCAACAGTGCCAATAAGACCGTTCAACAAACCCGTGGCCAAAGTCAGAACTGGACAGAGCTGCAAGGGAGAGGAGAAAAAATAGTGTTGAGATGAGAACTGAACTGGTATCAGAGCTTTTTGGGGAGGTATGTAATGAGTAACTCTGGTCGAGTGAACAATAAGCCAATCCTGCATGGGTAAAGCTGAGCGAAGGGAGGGAGGGAGGGAGGGAGGGAGGAAAGGAAGGAAGGAAGGGAAAAAAACAAGAAATAGGAACTGTTGATCTAGGACACATCAGGAGGGCTTGAAACAACAAGGAGCTGGATGAACTTTCTTCCTTCACACGGAGGAAAGTGCTGGACATCAAGAAGGGTGACCATCTACAAGTTCAGCTTTTTCCCCTCCTGCATTGCTTCCAGTCTGCGCTGCAAGCTTTAGGGAGAAAGAGAACTAAGGAAGACGGACCAGCAACAGGGGCTCCTCCTGTCCTCTCGTGCTGGAAACTGCCTTGTATTGAATGTGAGGTCACAAATCCACCCACTCCCAGGTGCTCAGTGATTCTGGCCAGTGGATCTGAGGTGCTGTAGCATCCAGACACTTCCCAGGCATGGGAAATGGAGTTGCTGTCAAGTTGTACTTAATTCGCACCAGTGACTCGACTCGGATTTGGGTTGTTGTTGTTTTTTCAATGACTTGGATTGGGCTCCTAGCCCAGAACCCACCCGCACCCTCCTTTTTTTCCTGGGGGTGGGCAAGCTTGTTTTCCATAGGGACTCCGACCCGGGGCTTGGCAGCAAAAACTCAGTCTTGGGATTCAGACCCTAAGAGTCGTCAACATCCCTAACTTTTTGTCGGGGGGGGGCTCGAAGGGAGCAGGTCAGGCTGGGATTGCCTCTACGCCTGCAAGGGGCTGTCCTGAGTCTCTCCACTCAGCAAACCTAAGAAGCTTTTAAAAGGGGGGAAGGACAAGAGATCCAAATGAGGAGAGCTTCTGGAAGACTCACCACAGCAGGGAGGGCGTTGTTCAAGACATTCGAGACCGTATTGATGAGCCCAGAGAGCAAACTAGGAAAGGCAAAAAGTGACCAGAGGTTAAGGTTGCCACCATACCCTTTATGCAGCGTTGATGCTTTTTACCACGGGTGAATGTGGCTATGGCTATGGACGTTAACAGCAAATAGCGGTCTCTCATTTTGCAGTATTCATTCGTTTGTTCGTTCGTTCGTTCCTTCGCTTGTTTTTCTGTCTGTCTGTTCATTTGTTCATTAATTAATTCAATATGTGTCCTGCTCCTGTTAGTGTCACGGCATTACTTGGCGGAACGCTTACTCCCACCCAGTTCTACCCGTGTCACCCGAGCGAGTCAGGAGCTGGGTATTTTCAAGAAACAACTGAAAACATGGATGTTTAGGCAGGCCTTCCCCCTTTCTACCTAATACCTCCTTTTTCTGTTATAATATATCCCGTTTCTCGCCATCTTTGGGGAAAAAATTTATTCTATCTTTTAATTTATGTAAATTATTATCTGTGATGTGGTTTGTTATATGTTTATTTTTTAACTGCATGTTGTAAGCCGCCTAGAGTGGTCACAATTGACTAGATAGGCGGGGTATAAATGAAATAAATAAATAAATAAATAAATAAATAAATAAATAAATAAATAAATAAATAAATAAATAAATTACTCTGGGCGGGTTAGAACCCATAAAGCAGAAAGCACAAATAAAAATAGAAACGTGAAAAGCAGCAACAATAGCCCTAAAAGAAAGTATTAGGACCTCATCTTGTTCAGAACTTGGAAAGGTTATATTTTTATTTATTTATTTAATTTATTTATTTATTTATTTTATGTCTATCCCGCCTATCTGATCATATTAGACCACTCTGGTCTGCCCCTCTGCAACTGCCTCATGCCAGGCAGCGGCTTTGTTCAACTTACGCTGAAGCTGACTTCAAGGCAATGTGAAAAACTAGGCGAGACATGTTCGGTCCCGCTGGCCCTCACTGGGAAGGAGGCACGGGCATTTTCGTAGGCGAATCTAAACCCAATGAGTTTGTTCTTCATTCCTATCCTGAATAAACTCAGGATCTTTATCTGACATTGATTGATTGATTTGATTTATATACCCGCCCATCTAGAGCGTGTCTATTCTAGGCGATTGTTGCTACATGCTGTCAAGTAACCTGTTACTTACGGTGACCCAATACATGAGCAACTTCCAAAAGGCTGTGTCTTCAACAGCGCTACAAACCCAGGGCTGTGGCTTCCTTTATTGAGTCTGTTCATCTCTTGCTTGGTTTCCCTCTTTTCCTGCTGCCTCCAACTTTTCCCAGCATCTCTGCTTATTCCATGGAGCCTTGTCATGTCCTACATGGCTCAGGGCGTGATTGCTCAGTTTCATCTTTTTTTCCCTCTAGGGAGAATTTTAACTTGATTTGACCTAGACCCCATTATTATTCTATCTGAGGAGCCACAAAGCTCGCTCCCAGTGTCGCATTTCAAGCGAGTCCCTTTTTCTTTCCCCGTGAGCATTCTTGTTCAGCTTTTGCATTTGTACATTGCGAGCTTGCGATCCTCTTCTTCAGAAACACGGAATATAATAAAAGCCCAGTCGTTGTACAATCGCCTACAGATTCGACTGCCTTGCTGTTATTAAACCTAGTCCCGGGATGTTAACCTAATCTACCTTTTAAAAAGGCCTCAGATGCCTTCTTCTGTTTCCCAGTTCATCCATTCTCCAGCCCCATCCACCTTGCCTACTGTGTATGTAAACAGATCCTCTACAACTCACATTAATAAATCTATTCGTCTTAAAATCACTCTAGACTTTATGTGTGTTTTGTTTTCCCTGAAACCTGTGTGCATACCTGAAATCCTGGGTTTCAAGCTCTTCCACTCCCTAAACCCCTCAGCCGGCCATGGAGCAACAATGAACAGCATCATGAATCTCGCAGGTGGCTAATTGGACTGGCAGGGGCCTGGGGGGCCGGACCAAAGACTTAGGACTTTTTTTAAAACCACTGAGATACAGAGAAGGATTCCCCAAAACTTCATGGAGATTTATGAGCACCACTCACCTGGACCCAACCTTGATTTGGACATTGCAGTCATCTGAGGCAACAATCCGAGCAGGCTGATTTGGGTCTTGCACCAGTCGGCTACTTCCTGTGATGTTCACAGCCACGTCGAGCCCCAGCAGCTGACCCCCGAGCCTGGAAAATGCAGGCAAAGCAGATAGGGTGCCCTTTCTTGACCCATTCTAGTTTCAGAAACGTGTTTCACATTTCCAGGTCCTCCTGGCTTCTTCTTCAGGGGACCAGCATCCGAATCACAAGTAATTAATGCAGCCGGCATTTGTTTTGCCTGCTGACCTTGACTCTGAGAGCAAACACAGCCCTTCTAGATGGCCCACCATTCAAAGGGGAAAAGTTGCACAGGCTGTTTTGTCCGTGGGTGTCACGAAAGAAGCTTCTCTTACCCTTCAGAGTGGATATGTCATCCTTCTTTGGCCGAGATAGATAGATAGATAGATAGAGGAAGGAAGGAAGGGAAAGAAAGAAAGAAAGAAAGAAAGAAAGAAAGAAAGAAAGAAAGAAAGAAAGAAAGAAAGAAAGAAAGAAAGAAAGAAAGAAAGAAAGAAAGAAAGAAAGAAAGAAAGAAAGAAAGAAAGAAAGAAAGAAAGAAAGAAAGAAAGAAAGAAAGAAAGAAAGAAAGAAAGAAAGAAAGAAAGAAAGAAAGAAAGAAAGAAAGAAAGAAAGAAAGAAAGAAAGAAAGAAAGAAAGAAAGAAAGAAAGAAAGAAAGAAAGAAAGAAAGAAAGAAAGAAAGAAAGAAAGAAAGAAAGAAAGAAAGAAAGAAAGAAAGAAAGAAGTTGGGAGAAACCTTCTACTCCATCTCTACAATTTCACTTATTATTCTCCCGCCACCTTCATTTCTCCTTTGTTCCCCGCCCCCCTTGGATCTGAGGTGGTGATACATCCCGTCTTTCTACTGCTCCATGTCTGTGTGGGTGAAGAATCATGGACAGTCACAGAAAGAAGTCTCCCATTATAGATTTCAATAGTTTTTGTCAATGACTTTGCAGCAGGAAAGACCTGGGAGGTTCATTCCGTGGTACAGAGCAGAGTCTCCTCCTCTCTGGACACCAGATGAGCACGTTTCCCCTTCCCTTTCCCCATTTTCAGTCATAGAGACTCAAGCCGAAAGATGCAGGAGGGGTGCCGCTCCGCCCTTTGTGTGGCACTGAGCTCCGGGCTCCACCCCTTGATTACCCTAGAAATAGCCTGGCAAGATATCCTTTTCCAAATTGCCTTCTGGCAATGGGGAGGTAATGAGAAGACGAGGGGGGGAAGGAAGGAAGCTGACTCACAAATCGGCCTTGATTTTCAGGTTGGTGCTGAGGCTGATTCCAATCTTATTGGGTGGCATTACAGTCAAGGAAAGCTGTAGAGGTGACGCAGATACAATCTTCAAGCTGGAATGGGAAAGAGAGCAAGTCAGAGGCAGAAATGACAATCCTGAAGGCTAAAACATGGCACATTTCTCCCTAAACCCCCACCCACCCCCAGCCCCACATGCACACCTGTTTCCCTAAACCATGTCACGTTGTAGGGAGGGACCTGGGATGGCAATCCTGCACAGAAAATGATTCCTGCCTTTCAAATGCAGCCGGACAGGTGCCCGTAGAGGTGCGCGTGCATGCACAACAAACTTGAAAATGAGGTGTGCCGTTACTCAGAGCAAAGGAGCGAGAACGGTGGCATAAGGAGAGCGTACATATTTTGAATCAAACTACCGAAAGGAGGTATCAGGTAAAGGAGGGTTTCAGGGAGAATCAATCCATGCTAACGGTTCAGGGATTCAGGCTGGTTCCGTCATCCACCAGTCTGTAGACCTATTGCTTTCCAGTGGTTTCTCACAAGGAGCCACCGTGTGTTATCCTTCCACACCAAATGTGTGCCAAGGAACTCTTAGATCGGTGTGGTGGGACTTCTCCACCTTGCAGAAAATTCTGGGTGTATTGTCAGTTCACACGGGACACTGGGCAACTTCCTGGTTGCCTTTTGAAGGCGGAAACAGTGTCCCCTATAACACTGGTCCCCATCCTTGGGCCTCCAGATGTTCTTGGACTACAACTCCCAGAAGCCTTCACCACCATCTCTGCTGGCTAGGATTTCTGGGAGTTGAAGTCCAAGAACATCTGGAGGCCCAAGGTTGGGGATCACTGCCCTATAACACCCACCCCGGTCCCTCCTCTGTGGGTTCTTTGCAAAGGACATGGTGGGACACAAAATCATAGGGACAGATATACAAAGAAGTCCAATGATAGCTTTGTTAAATATATTTAGAAACAATGTATTCTTGAAGGCTTTCACGGCCGGTATCTGATGGTTGTTGTGGGTTGTCAAGGGGCGTGGAGAGGTTTTCTGGGAAACCCCCCGGCCACAGAGACTGGTGAAACATCAGGAAGAACAACCTTCAGAACACGGCCAAAGAGCCCGAAAAACCCACAACAACCATATTTAGAAACAAGTCAACTGGACAGGTGAAAAATGGAACTGACCACTATTGTGTTACCAGCAGCAAGATTGATACTTGCAAGGAATTGGAAAAAATAATCATCCATTGAGTTTGGAAGAATAGTGCAGTGAGATGTGGAATTTAATCATGAATGATAAATTCACGTGTGAATTGAAAGTTAGAAAAAGATTACTGAAAGAAAATAGTCTTAATGGGATCTGGAATGCTTTTTTAGAACATATATTTATTAAACCTAAAGGTTATACTCCAAAACAAGAGTCATTATATTTTTGAAAAGACATGGGGCAGCTGACCGAAAATATGTTTGTATGTGTGTGTTTGTGTACACACGCACACACACATGCACGCATGCACAAATGAATATCTAACCCCAAAGGTGGTGGGTAATACGGTACATTTGAGTTATGAATGTATTTGTCATTTATGTTCTTGTTACGATGCATTGTTGGATGTACAGATTTTTCTTTTGTTTTGAGTCTGATTTACAAAAACAAAGATGTCTTTCTGGGAATATTGTTTTTCATTCCTTTCCCCCTTACCAAAGGACCTCACTTTAACGGATGAGGAAAGTTTTATCCTTCTCTTGCATAGATATCCCTAGAAGGGGAACTCAATGAAGGGTGCATTTTCCTATCCTTTCCCCAAAAATAGGTAACTCACCCAATGAGACCTTCATTGCCTCCAAGGAGACCTCCATTGCCTCCAAGGAGACCAGTACCGAGCAGACCATTGTTTCCAAGTAGACCTCCTCCTCCTCCTCCTCCCAGGATGTTTCCAAGTAGACCTTCTCCTCCTCCTCCTCCTCCTCCAAGTACTTGTCCCACAAGGTTGTCCAGTGGATTTTCTTGGCCCATTGATGTTCCAAGGGCTGTTGAGGGTTGACGGCATTTTACACAGGAGAGGGAAAGTTAATGAAACAGAATTCAGTTTCGACACTGCTCCTCATCCTCGTCCTCACCACCACAAGCAGTAGCACCACTTTCTTTGGCCATCCTCATCACTACTCTCCAGTCCGGGTTTTCATTTACAGAACGTCTTCCTGGCTTAAGGACGAACACACATTCAGAAATCCTGTTTTGCCAAAAGGAAACAAAGCGCTGAGCTTTCACACACACACACACACACACACACACACACACACCGCTCTCTTTGTTCCACCCTGAAATTTTCTCAGAACCTTCCACAGGCTAGACCTTGGACAAGACTTAGAATTGGAACTCCGAAAACCTCACCATCTACTTCTTTCAGAAAACGACCCTTAAGGAGTGCGGTAATGGCACAGTTGTAGGACTATGGAAACTCTGGCCCTAGGGTGTCAGTTTTCTCAACATGCATAGAGGGAAGCACATGGTTCCAGCACTCCATCACTGCTTTCTTCATGCGATGGCAAGGAGTGGAAAAAAGAGAGATCTCTGTTTGCATGGACATTCTTGGACCCCGGAAAAATCTGAGTGAATCACTTGGAGAAAGCGACGATGGGGTTGGGGGAGAGGGACTCCTATCTCAAGGCATCAAGGGGACCTGGTGAATGCCTGAACAGGTCTTCTGCCTCCCACAAAGACTCTTGGGCTGCTGCCAAAGAGTTCAAGCCCAACTCTGTGGCTGGAAGAGGATCTCTCTATAGGGCCATAGCAAGCCACCGTCCTTCTTCACACATCTGGTTTTGGGTAGGAAAGGATTTCACAGAACAGATAGAACTAGAGCAGTGGTTCCCAACTGTGGGTCCCAGATGGCCCTGGACTAAAACTCCCAGAAGCCTTCACTACTAGCTGTGCTGGCCAGGATTTCTGGGAATTGTAGTTCAAGAATACCTGGAGACCCGGATGGGGAAACCCTGGTCTAGAGGTAATGAAAAGGGTCCTTTCGGGCGCCATTGTTCTTAGCATCTCCCAGGTGGCATGGGTACCATTCTGAGAGCTTCAGTCGAGAAAAGGATACCAAGCTCTGTCCAGAGATAACACAAGAGTACACCCTCGTGGTTTAAGAAATTAAGACCAGAATATCAATTTTGATGGTGAGCCAGGAATTGGGACATCGGCTTGGTTTGGGTGTGCTCCTTTGGACCACCTGTGAAGATTTTAAGCTCTTAGGGGCTGGGCAGAAAATTGAGGGGTGAAGGTGTACAAAACACACACACACACACACACACACACACACACACACACACACACACACACACACACACACACACACACACACACACACACACACACACACGGGTGGGGGGCTTGTGAGTTCATGTTTCTGAGTAAACTGTAGTTCCAAGATTTATAAAACAGCAATGAAGTCTCCCTCTCTATTTCTCTCCCTTTTCGTACAAAGAGAGAGAGAGAGACACACACACACACACACACACAGAGAGAGAGAGAGAGAGAGAGAGAGAGAGAGAGAGAGAGAGATTCAGATGCTCACCGTTCTGCAGAGAATTAATGTCCAACTGAACTAAAGAGGAAGCTGGAAGTCCCCCTGTGCTTTGGGAGGAAGACAGGAGACCACAGAGGAGAAGAACGGCCCAGAACGTAAGCATCTTCATTCTGATCCCTGTGAAAGTATTGCTGGTGGTCAACACAAGGTTACCAAAAAAGCAAATGACGGTTCACTCCCTTGAAAGGAGAGGCGTGCAAATACAGAAAGATGAGCAAAGAGGCAACAGACCAAAGCTTAGTAAGATTACTCTTTGAGGACCACAGCACCCATGCTGGTTGGGATCTAAGGTGGAGTAGTCCACATTTTAAGCCTTCCAAGTACTGCAACCAACCAAGATCCTCTGTGGCCGAGAAACATTTCACATCTCCCTCAAGCGAGCAGAGAAGTCAATACTTAGGATCAAACAGGTCCTTGTGATCCAATTGGTTTTAAAGATTTTAGTGTGCCGATGCTGAATCAACGTGGATCACTGAATTTTTACACAAAACCTGCCCCACCGTGGTCGGTATCTAGCAATAAATTAAGCTCAATCTTCATTTAAAATAAAGTTCAATTAAATTAACAGCAACCTGTGATAGATAATTCTCAAGCTGTGAAATCAAACTGGATGGCTATTTTGAGAGAAGCAAACCTTGGGAGTCTCAGCCTCCGAGGAGTACCACCTGGCTCCTTACCTTACTTGTCTTGTGTACTCACAAGAGGATCCTCAGCTGCTGCCTTCTGCCAAGGAAGGTGTTGTGAACCCTCAGCAGGTGGTCCTTATATACCAAATATCCATGACAGGAACAAGGAAAACAGCTTGTTTGTGGGAAACCTGTGATATTTGCTTGGGTGTAAAATAGCAAATGGCTTTATGATCCGTTGCAATGCAAATATTCACGTAGACAATTGGTTAAGGGTTGCACAATACGGATTGAGCACCTGAGCAAAGGCATCTGGTCCAATTTGACCCGGGGTGCCAATTTCCGAGGGGGAGAGCCAACTTTCTTTCTGACCCAGGAAATGCCAGGATCGGTGCATCGTAGCAGGAAGCTGGTGGGACAAAGGTTTGCTTCAGCCACCCCTGAAACCCTGAGGGAATAGTGGGTTGTTCGCAGGTGCACAGGCCTGGGATGGTATAGGGCACTGGTTTAAGGCTCAATGTGCAACAGTCCTGGGAAATCCAGAATTGCAACATGGCTCTGCTCTAAAGAATCTCTCCGGAGAGTCTTGCTTGGCCCAGAAAAGAGCAATCAAATCCTGGCGGTTTTCATGAAATTCCAGGGTGATGGCACGACCACTTGGTTATTTTTTTTTCCTTCTTCTCACAGAATCCCCAGAATTGGCCCTGCTGTTTGGTAGACTGGAGCAGGCAGCAGATCTCTGAGCAGCAGACAAAGGTCGATACTGTACAGTCTATCATGTGACCCTGCTTGGTGCATCTGCCCTCCATGCGGCTTCTCTCAGGGGCACGGCAGGCTGAGAGGTGATGGGTGAAGCCTTGTTGCATAATTTACAATCGATTAGAGCTGATGGCATCATCAGCGGGGTCATTTCTTTCAGAAATAAAACATTTCCTACTCTAGTTCTGAGGCTCTCGAGGCTCCTGCATAATCCCTTTCATCATCAGGACACTGTGGGAGCTGTGAGACAGGAGAAGGAAGTCTCTGATTACCGAAAATCACTTCTGCCAGGATGACTTGACCAGTGCTACCAATTTCCGGGATTTAAAGACTTTCTCCTCCCGACCTGTGGCTCCCACAGTTTTGCAATGATGGAAGGTTTAACACAGGAGCTGGGGACAGAAATAGAGAATTTCAATTTCCAAAAACATGTCTCTGCTGATGATGGCCTTGGACTCACATGGGCATGAATTATGGAATACGATTTCATCCACTTAGTTACGACTAATTGGTTGCTTTTTGGAGCAATGAGCATGTGACCAAGTTACATTACACAAGCAATATAAGGAGCAGAACAAATGTTACTTTACTGGTGTTTTGTGTAATATTTTCTGATTATTTTCACATATTACTTTTAAAGCGCATTTTGATAGACATTTTTCAAGTATAACCCCAGTTCAAACTCTTTTAAAATGATATATTTTTAAAGTAACTTTCCAAGTCCTGGTCATAATGTAGGCAGTCTGGACAGCTTTTGTGCAAAGAACTGCAGAGGTAGTCCATCTTGCCCTTTGCCTCAGGCAGCAAAATACCTTGGGTCAGCCCTGCATGCCCCCTTGTGTTTCAAGAGCAAGGGAACAGCTGGATCTGATTCAGAAACATCAGCCTCAGCCTTCTGTTTCCTTGAACGACCGTCAACCGAGAGGACAGGAAGGGACCCTTCCTGGTTCCTTTGCTGCTATTCAGCAGAGCCTGAAAGGTAACTTTTTGAACTACAAATCCCATCATCCCTCGACCAGCATGGTCACCATCTGTGCTACAACAGCTGGGCAGTTCTGGGAGCTGTATTCAAAAAAGTAACTTTCTCAACCTCTGGGGTCCAAGGTTCCCAAGGCTCCTGTATAATCCCTTTCATCATCAGGTCACTGTGTCCTGTAGCCACAGCCTCTCTTTGAGTCCATCTGATTCTTCTACTGGAAGAGCAGGCCAGCTGGACGGTCTCTTGACAGCTCAGGGGTCTGCAAGCAAGAATCAACCTTTGATAGCATCCAACCCAGAGCCACCAGAAGGTGAGCGAGTCTCTTCCATACTAATTGTACTCGGCAGCTCTTGAACACGGGACCAGCACAGAGAGGTTTCAACTCCAAGGAGGACATTCTGAAGAAGCAGTCAGAAGACCTTTGGGAGAGTAAGAGCTACCTGGCAGGGCTGTTGACACGTCTTTGGGTCTGAGTCCCAAGTCTTTGGTAACAAGTCTGAGTCCCTATTAAAAATACAGTAAGTGTTTTACCTCAGATTTGGATTAACAATCAGCCTGAAGAAAACACAATTCATGGGCCAGGGTGTGGACTCACCTCCCTCTATTACCATCTCCATGCAAGAATTGGAGGTTGTTCGTGACTTTGTGTACCTTGGCTGATCTCTGACACTCTCTCCTTAGATGTTGAGCTGGATAAACGCATTGGGAAAGCAGCTACCATGTTCTCTAGACTCACAAAGAGAGTGTGGCTCAGTAGAAAGTAGACGGCATATACCAAGATCCAGGTCTATAGAGCCTGTGTCCTGAGCACACTCCTATACTGCAGCGAGTCCTGGACCCTTTGTGCACAGCAGGAGAGGAAGTGGTCCTCACCCGACCAGATAGGCGGGATATAAATTAAATAAATACATAATAAATAAAGCTGAACACCTTCCATATGCGTTGTCTCGTAATGCATTCAAGCTGAACACCTTCCATATGCATTGTCTCGTAACGCATTCTTGGTATCACCAGGCAGGACAAAGTTCCAAATAGAGTAGTCCTAGAACGAGCTGGAATTTTTAGCATGTATACATTACTGAAACAGCGACGTCTACGCTGGCTTGGGCACGTTGTGAGAATGGCTGATGGTCGGATTCCAAAGGATCTCCTATATGGAGAATTAGTGCAGGGAAATCTCCCCAGAGGGAGACCACAGCTGCGATACAAGGACATCTGCAAGCGGGATCTGAAGGCCTTTGGAACGGACCTCAACAGATGGGGAACCTTGACATCTGAGCGTTCAGCCTGGAGGCAGACGGTGCATCACGGCCTCTCCGATTTTGAAGGCTGAAGGATGCCTAATCTTTACCTCAGAAAATAGAGAGAGGGTCGGTGGGTGGGTTCCAAGTGGTGAGTCAAGTCTGAGTAATTGGGGGGGGGTAATCGAGTCTGAGTCGAGCCACTGGTGTGACTTAAGTCCAACTTGATAGCAGATCCCATGACGTGTGTCCCCCCTCCCTGCTATTCATCAGCACAGCCGTCTGCCTTGGAGAGAGGTTGGCTCTCCTTCCTTGGGAGTCACTAAACATAATTTAGATAGCTTCCATCAGGGATGCATTAGCTGCGTTTTTTCCTACTGTGACAGCAGAAGGCTGGAATAGATGGCCCTTGGGGTTCCTTGCCAGCTCTGTGGTTCCGTGATGCGACACTTGTTTCATCCCTCTAGTTTCATCCCTGAAGTTTGCCGAGCACAGGGGTTGGTTTGTTTTTTGCTTGCTTTTTTTTAATTTGTTAAACTACAACATAAACATAAAATACATAAAGGACAATAAAGGAAGAAGACGAATAAAGATAGAGGAAGAAGAGAATTACTGCAAAAGGTCCCGACTAGGGTGGTGGGGAACACAGTCGATTTGTATTTTCGTTTATGTATTTTAGCTTGTTTGTGGTTTTTTTTTAAGTAAAAAGCAACACCTCCCTACATGCTCGAAAAAATTGTGCCAGAGAGGGTGAATATGTTCAATACCTGTAGACTGAACATGTTAATGGGGAAAAACAGAATATTGCAGGGGACCGGGGAAGGAGTAGGGGTCGTGGGAGGCATGGAATGCCCATCTACAGGACGGAACATCTGGACAGCGTGATTCTGTTGCTGTTTCCACATGAGTTGTCTATACAATAAAAGTAAAGACAAACAAAATATGTGTGATGTGTCTTCATTACAGCTCCCAGATTGTGATGTCCAGGCGGCATGGATCAGCGTGATTCTGTTGCTGTTTCCACATGAGTTGTCTATACAATAAAAGTAAAGACAAACAAAATATGTGTGATGTGTCTTCATTACAGCTCCCAAATTGTGATGTCCAGGCGGCACGGATGCTGTTGAGATCCCATGACTGTTCTTCAGATGACCAAGTTGTTTGTTTTTATACACTAATTAATTTTAATCTGTAAGACCTGATCTATCCACTGTTTGCAGTATCACTTTTGTCACCAGGTGGCAGACTATGCCATTTGGATAGATCTCTGGACCGGAGAGCCGAAGAATATTTCCGAAACTCTTGCCCTCCTTGACTCACGCTGTCTTGACTCAACAAAACACCTCCACCTGGGTGTGTTCCTGGATCCAGCTCTCTTTTGGGATGCCCAGATTGTTCAGGTCAGCCTTTAATCAGCAGAGGCGTATCACCCAACTCCACCCCTACATAGATGAGGCAGCCCCCAGGATTCTGGTGCATGTGTTGGTGATCACTATGATAGACTACTGTAGCACCTTCTACATGGGGCTGCCCTTGAGGTTGCCCCAGAAATCAGAGTAGGTTCAGAATGCAGCCACCGGGTTGGTGGCAGGTGGGAGTAAATTTGATCAGGGCTTGCCTACCCTGGTTTCCTGTGACATCTTATTATTATGTCTGTTTGATTTTATTGTCT